AGGGAAAGGGAAAGATATATCATGTCAACACAAATCAAAAGAATTCTTGAGTAGCTGCACTGATATCAAAGAAAATTTCAAGGCAAATAATAATCTCACGGATACGGAATGTCATTTCACAGTGAAAAGGGGTCAATTCATCAGAAGGATATAACAATCCTAAACATTTATACACTCACTATAGAGTTTCAAAATACATAAAGCAAAAATGGATAGAAGTACAAAGAAAAACAGAGAAGTCCACAATTATAATTAGAGATATCAATACCTCTATTTCAGTAACTAATAGAATAAATAGAAAATTAAAAAAGATATTAGATATGAGATATTAGATTTAAAGATTACTATCAACTAACTTAATCTAATCGACATTTATAGAACACTGCACCCAACAATAGCAGAATAAATATTCTTTCCAGAAGCATATTAAACATTTATCAAGATAGAACATATCCTGCACCACAAAACTACTTTCTTTGATAAATTTAAAATGATTCAGATTATACAACTAAAATTAAATTAGAAATCAATAACAGAAAGACTTCTGGAAAACCTTCAAATATTGAAACAAAGTAGCATATTTATAAATAACTCATAGATCAAAGAAGAAATCGAGAGGAAATTAGAAACTATTTTTAACTGACTAAAAATGGAAACACAGCATATCAAAATTTGTGTGATGCTATTAAAGTTAGGGAAAATTTTATAGCACTAAGTGCCTATAATAGAAACAAGAAAGATCTTAAATCAATGACCTTTGCTTCTACCTTAAGAAAATATAAAAAGAAGAACAATCTAACTCCAAGTAAGTAGAAGAGAGAAAATAATAAAGATCAGAGCAGAAATCAGTGGAGACACAAGATAGAAAAAGAATTGATAAAATCGACGAAACCAAAAGTTGGTTTCATTAAAAACTTATAAACCTCTAGTCAGGCTGACCAGAAAAAAAAGAGAGAAAACACAAATGAATATCAGAAATGAGAGCAATGACTTCACCACACATTTTACAGATATTAAAAGAATAACAAGGAAATATTATGTATAACTTTATGGTAATAAACGTGACAACTAAGATAAAATGGACAAATTTCTTGAAAGACACAAACTACTAAAGCTTACTCAAGAAGAAATAGATAACCTCAATAGTCCTTTATCTTTAAAAAACAAAACAAAACAAAACTGAATTTGTAGTACAAACTTCCCACAAAGAAATTCCAGGTCCAGATGGTTTCAGTCCTGAATCCTACCAAATACTTAAGGAAGAAATAAATACCCATTATACGTAAACACTTACGAAATGTTGAAAAGGAAAAAATACTTTTTTCTATGAAATATTACTGTGATAGCAAAACCTGATTGAAGACGTTATAAGAAAATATCCCACATGAACAAAGATGCAAAAATTCTAAATAAAATTTAACAAATTAGCAAAAAATACATATCAAAATAATTATATATCATGACCAAGTAGAGTTTATCCCCAGAATATCATGGCTGGTTTAACATTTGAAAATCTATCAAAGCAATTTATCATATTAATAATCTAAAAAATATAGACCATATGATCATCTCAATACATGTAGAAAAAACTAACAATATGCAACATTTATTTCTGATTTTTTTTTTTTGGTTTAGATATGCTTTATTTTTATTTTTTTTATTAATTTATTTTTTATGATGACATTGGTTAACAAAGTATGGTAAGTTTTAGCTGTATACTTTAACAGTAAGGCATATATGTATGTGTGTGTGTTCATTGCCCATAGTTAGATTTCTTTCTGTCACCACATATTTTATTTCTGATTTTCAAAAACCTTCAGCAAACTGGGAATCGAAGGAAACTTCCTCAAACTGATATAGGATGGCTATGAAAAACCTATAGCTAACACCATATTTAATGAAGAAAGAATGAACACTTTTCCTCTAAAATCAGGAATAAGATAATAATGTCCCTTCTTACTACTTCTATTTAATGTTGTACTGGAGGTGCTAGCCAATGCAATAAGGCAAGAACAGGAAGAAATAAAACTGTATTTTCAGACAACATGATTGACTATGCAGAAAATCTGATGGAATCCACAAAAACATTACTTGACCTAATACGTGAGTTTAGCAGTGTTGCAGGGTCCAAGATCAATATAAAAAATTGTGTTTCTATATTCTAACAACAAACAATTAGAATTAAAGTTTAAGGAATAATACCATTTATAGTAGAATCGAAATTATAAAATACTTAGGGATAAATCTGAAAAAGATGTGAAAGACTTGTATATTGAAAAATACAAAGCATTGCTGAAAGAAATTAAAGAAGACAAGTGAATGGAGAGAAATACTATTGTCATGGGTTAGAAGACCCAATATGGTTAAGATGTCAGTTCTCCCCAAATTGATCTATAAATTCAATTCAATCCCCATCAAAATCCCAGCAAGCTTTTTTAAAACAGAAATTTTAAAATTGATTCTTAAGTTCATATAGAAATGCAAAGGACCTAGGATAGCCAAATAATTTTGAACACAGATGGAGGAATCTGATTTAAAGACTTATTGTAAAGCCACCATAATCAAGATAGAGTGGCATTGGCATAAATATAGACAAGTAGATCAATGGAATAAAATAGAGTCCAGAAATAGGTATGTGTGCATATTTAAAGTCAATTCAGTAGAGAAAGGATAATTTTTTCAAGAATTAGTGTTGGAACAATTTTTTGCTCAATGTCCAGGAGCAAAAAAGTAAACTTTGATCTATATCTCTCACCATACATAAAAAATAACTTAAAAGGAACTACATATCTAAGTTTAAAATAAAATCTATGACATTTAAAGGAAAACATAGGAGAAAACCTTCATGACCTTGGGCTAGGCAAAGATTTTCTAAAAATGATAACCAAAAGTGTGATCCATAAAAGAACAAATTGATAAATTGGACTTCATTGAAATTAAATGTCTCTGCTTTTCTGTTAAGTGAATGAAAAGACAAGGCATAAACTGGAAAATATTTACAAATCATATACCTGATAAAGGACTTATATTTAGAAATATAAAGAACTCCCCAAATTCAACAATAAAAATAGAAACAACCTAATTTTTAAAAATGGGCAAGAGATTTGAACAGACACCTTACCAAAAAAAGATAGAAGGATGCTAAGTAAGCACATGAAAAGATGCTCGGCATCATTTGTCATAAGAGAAATGCAAGTTAAAATCATGATGAAATACTACTATATACCTTTGAGAATGGCGAAAATGAAAAACTTATTGTTTGTACTAAGTGCTGGCAAGAATGTGGAAGAACTGGAATTCTCATACTCTGCCATTGGGAGTATAAAATAGTATAGCTGCTCTAGAAAAAATTGCCAGTTTCTTTAAAAAGTTGAAATGATATTTACCCAAGATAAATGAAATCATAAGTCCATACAAAGTCTTATACACAAATGCTTCTAGCACTCTTGTTCATAGTTGCCCCAAATTGCAAACCACTAGTTGTCCTTCAATGGGTAAATGGATAAACAAACTGTGGTACATTTATGCCATGGCATCTTACTCAGCAAAAAAGAATGAATATTAATACACATAACAATGACTTTAAAGGCATCAGACTGAGTGAAAGAAGCCAGACACAAAAAGAGTACATACTGTATGAATCCACTTATGTAAATTTCTAGAAAATGCAAGCTAGTATGTAATGACAGCAAATCAATATCTTGTGATTTCGGGGGGTGGTGGTGTAGGAAGGGGCGGGAGACAGAGATTACAAGGAAACTTTAGAGGTGATACATATGTTCACAAAATCAATTGTGGTGATGGTTTCACTGGGATATACTTATGTCAAATTACATACTTTAATCATTACATATTATTATATGTCAATTATGCCTCAAGAAAGCTATTAAATAAACGAACATGTAACATAATGTCTAATGTTTGAGGTAGAAGTTTGTTCAATTTGTCTTCTATCCTGGCTTAAGCTACTTCTGACAGTTTCTGAATCTGAATACAAAATGATTTCTTGATCTATGATAATATGTATTCTTGTACTGTCTTATATGGTTGGTTAATTAATTCATAAAGAGTGATTTAGTTTCTCCCATAAAACTGTAAAATCTTCAAGGCCAGGTCTTATGTTATACACACACACACACACACACACACACACACACACACACACATGTATTCTTTTTTTTTGCAGTCTCCTAGTTTCCAGAAACAGTGCCAGACACAGAAAAGTTTAACAAATACTTTTTGATTAACCAAGTATCTTTTGTGCTATTTGACAAATTTAAAAAAGGAGGGACTCAAAACAGAAAGAAAGAATGAGTTTTCTCTATTTTTATTATTTTACTTATCTGGAACATAGCATAGAGATCATAGAGAGAAAAACCATAGTACAAAGCCACCCCAAGGCACCAACAGTATCCTTTGTGCTTCAACAATCTGAGATATAAATACAGATTTGCCTGTCCTACGGTTGAATTAGAAAGCGGTGAGTTGAAGGCTGATGAAGACATATTAAGATGAAAGGACTGCCAGACTGCATTTCAGCTTCATTTCATTCTCTTGCCCTCTTCATTTTGACCAATAAGATGGTACTGAACAGAAAAAGGAGCAATTCAAAGAGCTTGATAAAAAACAGTGCCCTTTAACTAAACATTCTCATTGAGCAGGATGCTCCAGTTGTGATTACAATCACAGTTCTCTCCAAATTTCCCAAAAGAGTGACAATTAAGGTCTCTATTTGATGAACAGACCAGCAAAAGTGAAAGAGACAGAACTAGAGCTACCACGAGAACCTGGGAGATCTGCCTCTCAGAGAGAAAAGGGCCAACATTATTCTTTCTAGTGGCGGGTAAAGTTGATTATCCTTGATTTTCTCCGTGAGAAGTCTTCATAGCCTGTAGAAATACGTCTGTTGTAGGAAATTATATTGCCCTTGTTTTTATTTTCGTAGATTATGTGGGCATAAATTATGACAAAGAATATCCAGAAACAGTGCATGAATATACGGGACACCAAGCCAAACCAGCGCATGACTCTGACTTCTCCAACGTTGTTGTCATTGTTGCTAAGAATTTGTACTACAATATTTACAGTTTCATAGAAAAAGATCCAGATGATGTAGGTCACCACGCCCCTGCATTTCTGGGCATATACTGAGTATATGAATAAGCAGCTGACGATGATAGTGACACAAGATAGGAAGAGGACAATATTGAAACTCCAACAGATGACGAAGTGATTTATCAGGATATGTATACTCTTATTCCGTGGATTAAAATCAGTGCAATTGCTGCTCCTAATGTACTTCCCTTCGAAGATAAGGTACAAGTTGGTGGCTACGATGGTAAAGACCCCTGATAACACGGCGCCTATTTTGGCTGTCATCCCACACCAGCGTTTCTGTTTCATACTGAAACCTCCTGTGGAAAAAAAAAATGTAAGCGAGCATTCTGGTTCCTTCTATTGTGGTAAATTATCAGGTTTTCTGCCTCCTTTCCCAAAGGAGAAACAACAGAGAGAAATATAAAACTAGGAAATAACAACTTTGGGAAGACAGAGACTGTTTAAAATTTATCGGAGTATGAGTGGGGAGGAGGAAGGATGCAGTCTGTTGGCAGTGAGCAGATCAATCAGACAAGTGGTTCTCAACCTGGCTTCACATTAGAATCACTGAAAGTACCCAGGTCCAGGCCCTACCCCAGACCAATCAAAACATTTGTTGGGTGGGACCTAAACATTAGTATTTTTTAAAACTTCCTAGCGATTTTTATATATAGCCAGGATTGGGAAACACTGAGCAGAAATAGATAGTTTATATTATGTTTGTATCTTTCCTAACATTGCCGTGGACAACAATTGCTGCCCTCTGTTGAGGAAAAGTGGCTTCACTTGTCCAGACCTGGAGTTCAGGTGTCCTCAGGAGAAAAATCAGGGCAACACAATATCCCTGCTGGGGTGAGAAATTGATGAAAATAGGTGGCTTTGAGCAATCATTCCTCCAGCACATATCAAACCTTATGAAAAGAAAAAGCAACAATGAGCTAAGTATTCAACTTAAGAAGTTAGGAAAAAAACAACAATAAGAACAGCAAAAAATAGGAGGAAGAAAATAAAGAAAACAGAAATCAATGAAAAGGAAATAAAGAAAAAGTAGAGGAATTTCTGATTGGTTAGGTTATTGGGGCCAGCTTCCTGCTAAAAACAACTAAAAATGCTGGATAAAATAGTTTTAAAATATTCTTAAAAGCACAGAGGTACAGGCAAGGTAGGAAGTAAGAGGTAGGAGGCCAAAGTCTATAGGAGTTTAAGAACTGGGTCAGGTAAACGAGCATGGAAGTCAATTTTGCTCTGAGGATATTTGCCAATCTGGCCAAATTTGAATTTCATTTATGAGAGAGCTCTGTAGAGTAAGAAGAAGCGAAATCAAAGCTCAGGGTCCACCAAGATGGGGAGTCTGTTAGAAGGCCTTTTCTATATTAGTCACGGCCTCCCAAAGGGCTATGATTAAGATGAATCAGAAGTAAACAGCTTTCTCCCAAGAGACGCCAAGGAGCGTTAACTTAGTACTACACTGAATGTATGGGGGAAAAGCTCTCCTCGAGACGTTGTAACCATAGCTAGCCTTTTTGTGGATTTGTAGCCCAAATTACATGAATCACGCAAAAAAACTTTTAAGTCGTAAGTCTAGTTTAAAGTACTCTTGAACTGGAAGTGTTTCTACATGCTTGGCAAAAGCAAACTCATATCCTCTCTGGAATGCACCTTTGATTTGGTCCTCAAATCCAAACTCCATCAATAATTTTTCAGACACAACAACTAATACACAGTAAAAAATAACCAAGCACACAAGGAACAAGGCACTGTGAGAACCAACAGAAATAACAGACCGTAGAAACAGAACTGCAAGAATACCAGTTTATAGGAGACATACAGGCAGCCAACAGACATGAAAAGATGCTCAACCTCACTAGCCATTAGGGAAGTGCAAATCGAAACCACAGTGAAATACCATCTCACACCTGTTAGAATGGCTATCATCAAGATAGGTAATAACAGGCGTTGGAGAGGTTGTGGAATAAAAGGAACCCTTGGGAATGTAAATTGGTACGGCCACTATAGAAAACAGTATGAAGGGGCCTCAAAAAATTAAAAATATGATACAGCAATCCCTCTTCTGGGTATCTACCCCCCAAATTTGAAAATATTTATCTGAAAAAATAGATGCACCCTGATGTTCATAGCAGCATTATTCACAGTGGCAAAGACATGGAAACAACTGAAATGTCTTTGATAGATTGAGTAAAGAAGATGTGGAACATATATATACAATGGAATATTAGCTATAAGAAAAGGTGAAATACTGCCATTTGGGACCACATAGGTGGATCTTGAGATAATCATGCTAAGTGAAATAAGTCAGACAGGAAAAGTTGAGAACCATGATTTCACTCATACATGGGATATAAAACTGAAAGCAACAAACAAACAAGACAAACAAAAACTCATAGACACAGACAACAGTTTAGTAGTTACCAGAGGGAAAGGGGAGAGAAGGGGAGATAGCTAAGGGAAAAGGGGACCAAATTTATGGTGACAGTAGGAGATTTGATTTGCATGGTAAACACAAAATGCAATATACAGATGATGTATTATTGCATTGTACACTTGAAACCTATATAATTTTTATTAACAAATATCACCCCAATAAATTTAATTAAAAAAGAAAATATACATAGGAACAGGAAACCATAGAAAATAACTTACCATATTCGAAAGAGAACCAAATAGAATTTCTAGGGATAAAAACTCCATATTTGAAATTAGAAATTCGGTAGGCGTATTTGGTAGCCAATTGGACACAGATGAAGTGATAATTACTTAACCAGAAGATAAGTCAGGAGAAATTATCCAGAATGTAGCACAGAGAAACAAAAATATGGAAAATATGGATGAGAAGTTAAGAGACATAAAGGATATAATAAGATGTTCTGACTTAGAGAGAGAAGGAATGAGGGAGGAAAGAGAATAAGGTAGCATATCCGAAGAGATAATAGCTATGGATTTGCATATGTGGAAAAAAACATTGATACACAGATTCAATAACCCTAACTAATAGCTAGTAGGATAAATAAAATGAAATATACGCCTAGACATACAGTACTCATTCTGTTGAATACTAAATACTAAAATAAAATCTCGAATGCAGCTGAGGGTCTTTTTTTTTTTTTCCAGAAGAACAACAGTTAGGCTTCTGAAGGAAACCAAAATCTAGTGGAATTATAAATGTGCTAAAAGAAAATAACTGCCAATTTAGAATTCTACACTCAGCTAAAATATTTCTCAAGATTGAGAACATGCAATATATTAAGCTTTTTGTAAAATTCAAAACAACTAAAATTAAATAACATATTGTCTGGCCTATAGGTATATGTAGATTCAATTTTATTTTAAAAGTAAGGAAATGATAAACATGAAATGGTTACCTCTGAAGTACAGGGGTCAAGAATAGGGAAGGGGCATATTGATAAATGTTAATTATAGTTAATCTTCTATTTCTTGGGTCGAATGAGGGCAGTCACAAGTGCTCAGTATAGTATAAAAAAATAAATGAACAAATAAATTAGTAAATAAAAATGGGCCATGAAACGTTACCCTGTGTTCATGGAATGGAAGAATTAATATTGTTAAAATGTTAATACTACCAAAAGCCATCTACAGATTCAATGCAATCCCTATCAAGATTCCAATGGCATTTCTTACAGTAGTAGAAAAAACACTCCTAAAATGTATATGGAACCACAAAAGATCCGAAATGGCCAAAGAAATCCTGAGAAAGAAGAACAAAGCAGGAGAAATTATATTTCCTGATTTCAGGCTATATTATGAAGTCATCAGAACAATATGGTACTGACATAAAAACAGACAAATAGATTAATGGAATAGAATCAAGAGGTCAGAAATGAACCGAAGCATTTACAGTCAACTAATATTTGACAAGGGAGCCAAGAATAGTCAGTGGAGAAGGGACAGTTTCTTCGATAAATGATGCTGGATAAGTGGATATTTACATGCAAAAAAAAAAAAAAAGAAAGAAAAGAAACTGAACCCCTATCTTATACTACTCACAAAGATTAACTAAAAATGGATTAAAGACTTAAATGTAAGATGTGAAACCATGAAACTTCTAGGAAAAAACATAAGAATAAAGCTCCTTGACATGAGTCTTGGTAATGATTTTTTTTTTTTTTTTGATATGACACCTAAGCACAAGCAACAAAATAAAAAATCAAGTGAGACTAAATCAAACTAAAAAACTTCTGCATAGCAAAAGAAACCATAAAGTGAAAAGACAACCTATGGAGTAGTAAAAAATATTTGCAAACTGTATATCTGATAAGGGGTTAATATCTAAAATACGTAAAAAACTGATAAAACTCAATAGTAAAAAACAAATAATCCAATTAAAAAATGGGCAAAGGACTTGAACAGACATTTCTCTGATGATGACATACCAATAGGCATTATAACCTTGAAGGCATTATGCTAAATGAAATAGGTCATATAGAGAAAGACAAATATTGTGTGATCTCACTTATATGTAGAATCTTAAAAAAAGAAAAGAAAGAAAGAAAAAGAAAAACCAACCATACTCATAGAAAAAGAGATCAGACTTGTGGTTACCAGAAGTGAAGGCTGGGGGGAGAGGAAATTGGAGGAAGGTGGTCAAAGGTATAAACTTCCAGTTATGAGATAAATAAATTCTAGGGATGAAATGTACAACATAATGACTGGAGCTGACACTGCTGTATGGTATATAGGAAAGTTGTTAAGAGAGTAAATCCTAAGAGTTTTCATCACAAGGAGAAAAAATTTTGCCTCTTCTTTTTCTTTCTTTCTTTTTATTGCATCTATACAATGAGATGGATATTAGCTGGACCTATTGTGGTAATCATTTCACAATATATGTAAATCAAACCATCATGCTGTACACTTGAAACTTATACAGTAATGTATGTCGGTTATTTCTCAATAAAATTGGAAAAAGCTGTGGAAAATCAAAATTAAGTTAATAAGCCTGAAAAATTAGTAATTTACAACCAAAACTAAGGTAATAAGGCTGATTTAGTAATAAGATTGAAAAATAAATGATAGATTGTCTTACAACCAGAAAGCAAATTTCCATGGGCTTTATGGTTGTGTGAAAATCACCCCAAAAATAAGAAGTAAAACACTCTGGAGTGAAGGTGCAGCAAGAAAGCTTGTTGCTATTCTAGTATATGACGACTATGTATTTGAACAGATTATCTGTTTAGACACAAAGGGTGCTATTGACCTGGTTTACCTACTTGGCATGCTATAAATTGAAGAACTACTGCTAAATATATTTTCCATTATGCAAATAGGTTTTCTTTTTTCTTTT